ACATTGAATTGTACCAAACTTTGCAGTGTTCTCAATATAGCGTTTGATAATATCGAACAATAAAACTATGAAAGAAGAAAATGTTCAACAATAGCAGACTATTAACGATTCACGTTTTACACATTTGCATGTTCTAAACGTTTATCCGACCAAAAAAAATATATAAAATACAAAAGGAATAAAAACCCAATGTCATCAGCAACATAGGTAAAATAGAATGCTGGTAAACTTAGAATAGTCTCGCCTAATACATATGTATACCTATATATATCTACATATATAGCATTTATATATCTACATATATAGTATTTATATTAAGCTTGCATGACTATTTAAGTTAATAGAAAATTCAAGCACGAGCTCTCTCGTATACATACATAGAAGAAATTCTAAGTCCCTTTTAGAGGTAATCTTTTAATTCGCCATTACCAAGGAACTTGCAAGTACACAGAAATACAGATGTACATATGAACACAAGTTTCAGTTTATCACAAACTTGCTGCTCTTATCAGTGTCTTTTACATATTCCCTTTCATAGTAAAATTGTTAAGCTTTTTAAGCTTTAGACAAAGCTCTGGAAAACTATACATTAAACGCTATTGAGCGTGCTCACTTAATAAATTCTCTCGCGCTCTCTTCGGTTTTCCTTTTTTCGCCTGTCTGAGCCGAAATATTTTATGTGTTCCATATAGCTTTTTACAACCTTTATAAGTAATGAATTTGCGCCAGACAGCCGTTGACAATACACACATACTTTATGAATTTAAAATTGACTTTGATAAGAAAACTGTGCTCAGTTGTCAATCGCTGCTAATACTTTATGTTTGAATGTTTGGACATAACTTAAAATTACATACATATTTTTTGTACGTGCAAAAGAGCCGTGGGCCAGATATTTAGTTTGTAAATCACCATGAATTGTGTAAACTTAGGTCGTCCGGCAATAAAAGTTCTCAAAGTTTGAAAGGGCTATTAAAAGTCCAATTAATGAAGCACTTGTATATTTTAACGTTTAATGGCGCGAAAGCAAAGCTGTACATACGCATCCTCAGAACCTGTGTGTGCAAAAATTAACTTTTTTAAACCTTAAGCGATACGTTTAAATGTGGCTCGCGAAAAAGTAAAATTGTTATTTTCGAAGAAATCAAGGAATATTATATATTGTTGGGTTATCTATCGTAAGGTCTTTAATCAGAAGATTTACGGAAGTTTTTTTACAGTTTTCCTTTGTGGAACTCAACCAAATATTAAAAGATCGGGTTTTGTTAATAATTTTTAAAGACGTTTATAGAATTTTAGGTAGCTGTGAACAATAAACCCTCACTAATATTACAATACGTCACCAGGATTAGGAACTATTAGGCAGTGTTACCAAATACTTGGATATATGTCAGAAACAAAAATAACAATAATAATCGAGTTTGATTTCGATTAGGATGTTTTCACATCTGATTTGATTGAGCTTTTGTTTTCTGTATACATCTATCTTTAACTGTCTTAACTTTTTATACCTTGAATAGGGTACATTAAGTTTGCCACTAAGTTTGTAACACCCAGAAGAAAATGTCGGAGATCTTTTAAAGCAAGGCTGAGCAAATAATTTTACTCCGGAGCTACACGACAACAACATTAATAAAAATTATAACAATTTAGTTCTCAGAGTGACAAAAAATACGTGGACTCAAAATTTCTACTGAACAAACTGAGTCGATTTCCCTCATATCGGACCACTATAAGATATACCTGCCAAACAAACTCACTGAACAAAATCAAGTCCTTGTATGGAAAACTTTTTTATTTGACAATATTATATATCTACATAAAATGGTATCCAATACGACGCTATAATATACAAAATGACTATTCAAATCAAGATAAAGATGTTTTTTTACGCTTTTATGTAATAAGACAATTCACTTGTGAAATGTATTATAGCTTCGGTGCAGACGTAGTTAACGTTTTTGTTTGTATAAATAATCAACATGTCTTCTGATACAATGAAAATTTAATCGACCAGTTTATATAATTTAAAAACTTGGATATATTTTGTATCAATATTAATTTCCTTTTATAAATGGTCGGCCGACTTAATATAATTAAAAATTGTAATTTCAAACCTTTTTACTTTACTACAAAATTTGGCTCTTTTATATACATTCATACATGGGTTGACATTAAAGAGCAAAAGCCTCAAAGTAGCATAAACAAACAAATAATTTAATGCAATCAAACAGCAATTTGACAAACAAATTGCCTGACAATATATTTCCTTTACGCAAAGCACATTGAAAAAGGAAATAAATAAAAACATGAGAAGTCAACGATCAACAAACAATTATGAGTATAAACCTTTGTGCTGACATACACATACATATTTGTTTAGATTCATTCATATGGAAGAGTGTGGGTTGGCGTGTGCAACAATCCAAACAACGTCAATGGGCCACATCAACGACTCCACTTAGGTATTTTAATCAAAGATGTCAGAAGATTAATACCGCGAGCTTTTATTGTATTTGCTTTAGCAAACACCCACCAACACCGAGTGACTTGGTGTGGGTTGGTATGGTTTCCGTTGAGTTTGTTGAGTTTAATCACATTCTTTCAGGCTACCATTAGCTGTTTACATACATTTGCAACATTAAGGATTGAACACTTGACATCGCGCGTCGAATGGCCAATGAAGAATGACGAATGATGGCTGCCCTGATGAGCGAAGTTAATCCGCAAAAGATGCCGTTAAGTTCTCTTTGTTGCTGTTCAAAGGCGAAGGAAGAAGGCAGCATGATGTAAATACATACTATATAACATTACAATAATTGGAGAAATTTCATGGAAAAACGAATAAAAGAATAAGAGATAATTAAAAATGAGTTGCCCTATAGTAACGTAAACACAATAAACCATACTGCCGAAGCGACAGCCATATAAAGTGTGTTTAAGTGCCGCACGAAGGTGAGAATAACAGTAATTATTACCTTACAAATTGTCTGCCGTTCGCATGGAACTCAGATTTCTAGGCCAGATGTGGCTAGCGGCAGGTACTATGTTGTTAGCCTGGCATTTGTTGTTCGCAATTTTGAAATAATTTTTGCTGCTGTTGGCCAAAGGCAAGATACCTATGTGCTTTCAAAACAATTATTTTGTTATTCGAGCGAAAAGCCAGGCAACCGCAGTTGCAAGGGAACTTTTAAAGCCGACAAAATCACAAACAGCATTGTCTTTACGCACAATCTGCACCCGGCCTACACAACCGCCAAAATCATAAGCTTCAGGCGAGACGTCGCTGCAGCGATTACAGAGGAGTGATATTTTGAACAAAACAACTTAAAAAAATTAACGTTTAAAACATTTTCTATATTTGTGCGTAGGATATATATTGTACGCAATGCGTAAAATAAAATATCATTCGTCGTTCAGTCCAGGCTGTTACGAAGTCAAGCCAAACAAATATCTTGCCTACGTCAAAAGTTCAGGTTTATATGCATTGATTGCTGTGTTTTTGTGAATACATATTCACCATAATAACTCGACTTCAATTTTTTTTATGAAAAAAAATCATTGGCACAGCAAAATTCAAAGTGAAATATCGAAACTAAATTGCAAACACACGCATTTTGACTTATTTACACTATCTGAAGCATCTTCACAACCCTCTTTATAAACACACATTGTAAAGAACTAAGTACTGGTGCAATACAACTTTTCGGTAAGAAGAAAATCAAATCATAACTTTTATTTTCCGCAGCAAATCAAGTCGACAAATAGATGACTTGTTTTCGCTTGCTTTCTTAAAAGCCAGTATTGCACATACACTAATATATTTCAAAGGAACAGCAGTGAGGAGGCACTTCAGTGGCGCGTAATGAGCCCTAGCGTATGTAATGCTTGGTATCTAATGGTCTGTAGCACTTGGCTTTGCTAGGTACTCTGCTTTGCCACTCACAATGAGTATTTGTGAGCAGCTGGGAAACTTTGGAGAGCATACGCAGGAAAAGCACAAATTATCGAGAGTGCTTTCATAAGCGATTATTACACAAAGCGAGACGCACATATATATGTACATCAATGCAACGGAAAAATGCTGAGCTAACTTAAATGCTTTCTGTTCTAAAATTAATAAGTTTCCACTTAGTGTAGATATGTATAATCAGCTATGAAATTCATTACGATTCTACCATTTTTATGCCCTGAACCGGGTATATTATGCTTTCCACGCAGTTTGTAACACCCAGAAAGAAACCTTGAAGACCCTATAAAACGAATACATAAATGATCAGAATGACGAGCAGTCGATTTAGCCATATCCGTCTATATACGCGAACTTGTCCCTCAGTTTTTGAGATATCTATCTGAAATTTTTTCTCACGTTCTTTACGCTGCGAAGAAGCTGCTGTTTGTCGCAACGGCCGATATCGGACCACTATAGCATAGCATACAGCTGCTATAGAAACTAAACGGTCGTAGTCAAGTGCTTGTATGTGAAATTTTTTATTAGTTATTCGCTGAGGCAGTAATGTAAACTCTGAAGAAATTGTTCAAATCGAGTACACATAGCATATAGCTGCCATACAAACTGACCGAACTAAATAAAATTATTGTAAGGAGACTTTTGTATTTGTGAAGGGTATAAAAGCTTCAGAAGGTATCGTTTTTTCTTATTTTTAGAATTTTTTTTAGAAATGGATTAAATTTGTTTTCTTTCCAGGTTTATTGTAAATTTTCTTTTGGTTGCATTTAAATATAGACATAACCAAATAAGTATACTGATAACAGATTAATGCTCTTTTTTTTTGGAGAATTGCGCTGACAATCGCTTTCACTTCTTTGCATGTTTCCCAAGCTCACTCTCTATAAACATACACACATATGAATGTGTGTATCACTTCCTCACTTTGACTAGTGGTGAGCGCCTGGAAAGCATGAAAGCAATTTACTGCGCTGATGTTTGGCCAAAAGCATTTTGGCTTTCTCAATTCGTTTTTCCTTTGGACCTGTCAGTCGATTCGTGTCGGCCGTGCACAACAGTTGCTTATAAGCCATAACGAAAAATCAATCACTTAAATTTACCCTAAACTTCTCGCCTAAAGAAATTGTGCGCGCGCGCATTCAAATCACTTATTTTAATAAAACAGTAGCAGTTCTTTCTTATCAACACCGCCGACGCCGCCGCCGACGCTTTCGCAGCTAAGCACTTTTGTTCGCGTAAAGTTATCGTGTTATTGAAAGAACGCTTTTCTTTCAATTCACAACAACAATATCAGCGTTAAGTGAATATTTAATCTGCTAAAGAGTATCTTCTACTTGCTTCACTTTTTTCTTTTCCGCTGTACTTTCGCTTTGTTTTGCATATCGCGACTTCCGTTTGCCTCTACGGTGAATTTGCTTTGAATACTTTCGATGACATCGCCTTCGCCGTTGCAATTGCCGCACTTCGCATATCTCGTTGGTTGCTCTGCATCGTGTTAATTGTGTATTCGATTTGTTTTGTTTGCTGATCTTCCGGCTGCTCCGCTTCGCGTGAAATTGCGTCTATTAATTGTGAGGAGAACTGTGCAAAAATAAAAGAGACTCTGGCTATAAGATACGGTGCATACCGAAAACTGTGTATTTACTCTCCATTTTGCGATTGTGTAAAGTGCGTCATGTACATACAAACACAAAAATTTATAAGATTAATTTTTTGTTTATGTGTTTTCTGTTGTACTGCCGGAAAAATTACAGTTCCTTCATTCGATATCTGTAAAATATTCAAATGGCAAAAAATAGTGTGCTAATCAAAAACGCATAATCTTTAAGGTGCAAAACATATCTATATAGCGGTCTTTCAGTCCTAAAATCACAAACATTTAATTGCTTTTGTTAATTATAAGTGTATTAAGAATTGTTGCATAGAAATTTGAATTTTTGACAAACCCTTTGTAGGAATTATGATAAAATGCTCGCATTTATAAGCTAATTATACCAGAGAGTATTTTATAAACAATAGTTACAACAATATGTTGAAAATATCATATGAAGTTTCTGGAAATTGAAATTATTCGAACTAACTATTGTCATTAGCAGCAGATGGGTAAAACTGCACATCAAAACAAATTTCTAGTTTCCTAGTAAAAAAATTGGTTTCAAATAAAAGTACTATTTTTAAAAATTATGTCAGTCATAAAAATCTCAGAACTTGTATATAGTTTGTTTATATGTACTTCAGACATAACAATCGTTTCCATTTAAAAATTTAATTTTTTCAATTTTTTGTTGATCTCCAGACGAAATTTTTTAGTTTGTCATTTTAGTATTTGGTAGTTTTATTTAATTTGAATTTTCTGATTGATGTGCTGATGATGCTTATAAAGAACAGATAAGAAAACATCAGCTGATTTATTTTTGAAGTGATTTTTTTTTTGAAAAGATCTAAATTTCTGAACTTATTTTAAAATACTTTTTTTCGTGACAGCTTACAGTGATGTTTTATTAATTGTTTCATAGACTTATCAAAAGCAAGTATTTTATTCACATGGCAATCTTACAACACTTATAATATTTATTATAGTAATCGCCAGCAAAATTGGAATTTCAAGTATTTTTGAAATCGCATAAAATATTGCAAAAGCGGTCAAAAACATTAATTTGCGAAATTACGAATCATAAATTCATTTGAATTCGAATACATTTGCACAGTCATTAAAACAATTCACTGAAATTCTTTATTTTTAATTACCTGCGTAGTAAATCGAATTATTCATATACAAATCTTTTCCAAATAACTTCGAAATAACAGTCTTTAAGGAGAAATATTCTTTATATGTTTCAATCGAGTTAATATATTTAAATTACCCAGACCAGATTCAGGGGAAACGAAACTGCGAAAATGAATTAAGTTGCTCGTAGATATGTATGTTAGCTTTTTCTGATTTAACATTGTTAAAATTAATTTGTACCATATGTATCTTTAAGATATCATTTTTACTTTTCAATACTTATTTGGAAATTATTTAGCACAACTTGTAGAAAGACCGCGAAGACCTATAGCATTGACCGGAGTAGTTGCTTCTTTGTCAACCAAAGCTCAATTAAAGAAAATATTTAGGATGCTTAACTAGAAAACATTTCATCATATGGTTACTTTGTTTGTTGCTGTTTCACATACACGTTCCAGATATTAAATTTCTATTATGTTTATGTTTTCTGTAAACTAGCATTTTTAATTCCTAAATATTCTTTTATAATTATTTCAAATTGAAGTTTAAATAATGGGGCATCTCAGAACTCGAAAATGTATTCTTGGTAAGTTTATTGTGCAGTAACTTTATATAATTTCGTAAGAGGTCGAGTGCAAGTTGAGATGGCCATTTCGACTTAGTGAAAAAGTTTAATGCATCAAAAATTCTGACTTACTAAAGGACCTTATCTGTACACCTAATTCTGTTTTTACACGGTCTTTTTTTACACCGTATGAAAATAAAACAACTTTAATCCACTTAGCACGATTCAACATTTTTTGGCTTACATTTTATTTGTCATATTTAATTTCTGCGAAATATGTTCATGTCACAAACTTAATGGAATTCCCTTTTTGTGGATACAAGCAAGTTTACTGGTCAGAGTAATTGTAAATAGCACACATTTAGGGGAATGATCAATGTATTTTAAAACTCTGCTTTTTTACATATTTTTTCTGGAACCAATCTGTAATAAGTATATATGATATTTGTAATACTCGTATATTCTTCTATCTCTGTATATTTTAATTTATTATTTATTAAATTTAGATCAAAATTATCATTTTGGTTACAATTTAACAAATCTGGTGGGTGTATTAGCGTCATTTCTTTTGTTCGCTTAAAAAAGGATGTTGTATCTTGCTACGGGTTTGCGATTTTAAATTTTTATTTATGGTAGACTTTTGCTACAACATAACCGAATAAAATTGAATAAAGAATATAAATAACCTTCTGTTCAAAGTTAAATTTACTACTTCTTCTATGTATACATTTTTGTAGATTTTATATAATAATTTCTCTCTCATTTCTCATTTTTATTTTGGAAACTACGATTTTTTGGGCTATATTAATTCCATCATTCACTTTCTATAATGGGCAACTAATTGCTCAGTCAAGAAATCCCTCATAAACTACACTCAATTATTGCTAGCCACATGTAAGACAGAAAGCATCTTCCAATCGCATGTCATCAATATTTGATGATTCTATTTCTACTATTTTTGCGGACTTATCCACACAGAAATTGCACAAGTGGCCAAAGTATCAAAGCTGAAGCACAGCAGTGCAAATGTGTTTGTGTATGCCTCACATACTATCTGTGCCAGGCATATGTGCGTGTGTGTTCATAAGCTTACTGCACATTGCTGTCAATTTATTTTAATACATTTATGACAACCGACACTGATGCTGTATTACCTAATATTGGTGCTTGAGAGCCACCCACTCCACTGACAACTTGCCACAAATCATGAACATGCTCATATACGTTAGATATATGTATATATTATAGTATACATATATAATATATACTCATAGATCGAATGTAAGAAACTCAATGCACATTAGAATTATTAGACTGTGACCATACATATGTACTGCAGATATTATATTATATATTTAGTATTTGTATTTCATAGTCTAAGGGCACTCATGTGTTTTACTTCAATTATTTAATAGAAAATGAATGTTTGACTAGGCACAATTTTAAGGAAACATATTGACACGAAGTGCGCACATAGCATATTCGCATGCTGTCTGAATGCATTAATGTATGGTATTTTCTTAGAGACGTGTGTGTGTCTCATTTCATATGTGATTTGTTTGTAACATCCATTTGCCATTTAAGTATTTACCCAAAACACTTATTCTAACAGCTGAGGGCTTTTTCTACATTGATTGCCATTGAGGAAGCCACAAGACGTGTGGAGAAGTATGACATATATGTGTACTTATATACCCCCCAAGGTATATGTGCAAAGAAAGGCACTGCACTTGGCTTGTGAGTGTCTGTGTGTAGTTGCGTGTTCGTGCAAAGCCCCTTCGAAGGTGATTGTGTAGTCTTGCTGGTACTCGATACGTCTTTTACTTCGCTTCAGGACGCAGCTGCAGTCCTTTGGAGGCGCAAAGGATATGTTTATTACAATAATACGATTATGTATGTAGATGTGAAAAGTGATATAAGCGAAAACGAGCGAGGGCTGCTAACAAAACGTAAAAAATTGTCTTGTTAAGCGCACGCTTCAATTCATTGCAATTCGTTCTCTTTTTGATATTTAATACCAATGCGGACAATTGAGGGGCAAAATAGCGGTAGCCTTGCGATCTTGGCTTGACATTTGCGTGAAATGCAAATTTTATATGATTTATATTTTATTATGTTTACATAATTCGATGCAAATATGAACTCTTATGCATACATATAAGCATTTGCAAGTGTACCCTTTTATGTTATCCCACCTACGCCAGTGTCCAATCGCTCAATGTCTAAAAAAATGTCCAAAATATGAATATTTCCTATTTGCATATGCATTTTGTGCATACTGATTACGAATTTGCTGGTCTAGTGTGCGATTTCCGCTAGCGCCAGAGGTCAGTTGGGATTTAGTTGTGAGTATATTCAAGTGGTAAAAGTCAACGAAGCTTGAATATCATATATTATTCCAGTTCTGCAGTTTTGGAGTTTTGTACATTGTTTTGGCTATATTTCATAAAAATATTTTACAGTTCGGTGTGCACAAAAGAGCGCATATGAAAACTTTTTCAATGACGGGATGCTTATTTTTAATATTCGATAGTTTAAATTTGTTTGTTCTTTTAGAATGGTCTATATTCATATGAAGTCCGAATTTTACAGCAATAATAAGATATGTATCTATTGATTGATTGCTTAGAAAATTTAGATGGAACTCTATATTTATCAGTTAAAAGAAAGGGGCGAACCGTCAAAATGAGAAGACAATTTTAGTTTCTAGTTTTTCCTTTTTGATTGTTGTTGACTAAAGATTGCTTCCTCTTGAATCATAAATTTACATAATTTAAGAAATATGCAACTTTATTATTAGAGCAAATAATATGGGTTTGGATTTAAACTATAGTTTTCAGTTTAGTTCTTGAACTTGTAATAAAGAATAATAGGAAACATGAATATCTTTCTCAAACAAAATATAGAAAATGTGAGACAATTTTGTAATTAAATAGTAAAAGGAATGAAAACAAGTAAGGATGTGCTAAGTTCGGGTGTAACTGAACATTTCATACTCTTGTTAGAACAAAGAAAATCAATATTTGTAATATATGATAGTTTGGGTAATTTGTGAACCAATTTAACATATTTTCGGCATTAAACTATAGTATATCCAATATTATACTTCCAGTAAATTTTGCTAAGGTATAATAATAATATATAAAGTCAGGCAGTAGTTCGAAAATAATTTCATTAGGTATAGGGGATATAGGTATTATTTACCCGATACAACCCATTTTTAACATACAGGTATATTATTGTATTATCAGAAAAGTATTCTTTTCGAATTTCTATAACATATCTCACAGATTGATCGATATTTTCGATCAAATATTCGCTATAGGAACTGGGGTCCACATGTTCAATAAATAGGGTGGTTGAATAGTTTTTGCC